CAAAATACGAATTTGGAAAAAAAAAAAATTGCAACAAATCATTAACTACCTAATTATTCATATACAAGAAACCATTTATCACACTAAGTATGTCAGCACTAACATTTTAATAGCCTAGGTCTACAGTACTGAGCAGTTCATTCAAATATTAAAACTTTATGAAGTAGAAAGAAGACAACTACGAACGGTGCTTAGTGACCAACAGGGGGTCCTCGCTTGAACAAGTTTCTTTATAGTATATGCCTTTAGAATTTGAATAGAGAATTGAAACCAGAGCAGGAATGGTCTCACTATATTTTTATTTGCATGATAATTTACTTCATTGGCTGCTAATATCATTTGGCTATTTTGCCATTTGATTTGTATTTGTGTATCAATCTTTGTAAGAACTTGAGAAAGGTCAAGTAGAGTAATAAAAGTGGTAATTAAGGTGTATGTTTATCAAGCAGTGGTAAATGACCCTTGCTATGTTCTCTGGCATTTTCAGAGGAGACAGACTGTTTATAAAGTGGGGTAGATCCAGGGGCGGCGGACTGACAGCTCATAGGGCCCCCGGGCAATAGGGGATCATGGGGCCACTGTGTCCTTGCCCAAACTCAAAAAAGCCTATGAAAAAGGTGTAAGGGGCATCTCATAGGGCCCCCTACTGACCCCGGGCCCTCGGGCAATGCCCGAGTTTCCAAATGGTCAGTCCGCCCCTGGGTAGATCGCTTCTACTGATGAGGAAAGAAGCCATCTACAAATGCTTTGAACTCTGGAAAACAGCTGTTGTTGCTGTAATCTCATGAGATCTAGTGAGATTACAGCAATGAGAGATCAGTAAAACACACAGCTGTCAGTTTACTAAGCAGTGGTAAATTACCTCTGCTGAGGTGGAGGCTCTCCTCACTACACACGTACACAAAAATAAAAAAAAGTATGTATATATAATACACAAATAATATATATATATATATATATACACACACACACACACACAAACACATATATATTTATAAACTGCTCAAGGGTTTTGAGGGTGTTGTGAAAGGCAGGGTGGGCTTTCCCACTCTCTTGGAGGTTCTGAAGAAAGGAGAAAAAAGTCCGAAAATGTCCTCCTTCCTCCTCAGAACTCCAGCGATTCTCCCTTCTCTATTCGATTCTCCACCTCTGGGCTTAAGAATCTGGGAGGGAGAATTTTCACACAGATTGCCAGAGACGGGCTGACATCACTCCTTCATAAACTGGCTATTTCTGTATCTGACGATTGTAGATAGTTGTGTGCAGAGAAGATCAGCAGAGAACATGTTCTCTGCTGATCTTCTCTGTTTCATAAACCATTAATGTACTGAAATCAGCAGCGATCCTCAGGATCACTGCTGATCTCAGTTTCAAGAACGGACACCTTAACTGCATCTATGTCATATGATTAATCTTACCTATATGGATAATGGTTAGTGACTTAATTGATAAATACATTTTTTATTTATTTCTTTTTCCGTAGTCCACACTTTAATACATTTTTTATTTCTTTTTCCGTAGTCCACAGTTTAATACGTTTTTTATTTCTTTTGATTTTTCCATAGTCCACACTTTAATACATTTTTTATTTCTTTTTCTTTTTCCATAGTCCAGACTTTAATACATTTTTTATTTCTTTTTCTTTTTCCATAGTCCACACTTTAGTACATTTTTTATTTCTTTTTCTTTTTCCGTAGTCCACAGTTTAATACGTTTTTTATTTCTTTTGATTTTTCCATAGTCCACACTTTTTTTTTTTTAGTGCTTTTTCTTTTTCCATAGTCCACACTTTAATACATTTTTTATTTATTTTTCTTTTTCCATAGTCCAGACTTTAATACATTTTTTATTTCTTTTTCCATAGTCCACACTTTAATACATTTTTTTGTGCTTAAAAATCTCTACATAGAGTAACAAATTCAGGAAATAATTAGGTCAATATATTATTATTATTCAGGATTTATATAGTGCCTACAGTTTGCTCAGCGCTTTACAATATATTTATATATGTTCATTTTATTTTATGCCGAAAGGCTACAGGCACTATTGTATATCGATTGATTAAATATTCAGTATCATTGACTTGATTAATTATGTAAACTTCCTGACACCACTCTGTCCTCACCTCCCTCCATAACTATTTATGCAGCAACTAGGAGAGGAATGAAGTGGAATGCTATAGAATGTAATCTGCGTGACAACTCTGCTGGGGCTACTGACATCACATTCACGATGGAGGTGCCTGTAAGCATTTTTAGGCCTTTGGGATTCTACACAAAGGAGACTGCTATGGGTAAATAACATGCATAAAATAGGTTAAATGCACATATAATCTTATGGAAATCTTGTTGTTGAAAGTAATATTCTGGAAACTGAGTCTTTTGAACCCTTTGAGGACCATAAGATTATAGAACGCCAAAAGAATCAATTGTTTGTTTTTAACGTTCGTACACTTCAGTTGCTGTAACTAAGCCATTTCATGAAATAATTGGCAAAAAGCTAGAACCATTTGTTGATAAGAACTAATATTTTGACTCAAACCAAAAAAAAAAAAAGTATTTTAAGTTCTTAATCAGATGATACAGGCAATTAAAAACATGGGACAAATACGTCCCTTGGTCCTCAAAGGGTTAACCACTTGCCCTTCGGAAGATTTACCCCATTTCATGACCAGGCCATTTTTTGCAATACGGCACTGCATTACCGTAACTGACAAATGTGCGGTCATGCAATGCTGAACCCAAATAAAATAAAATTTTTCCCCACAAATAGAGCTTTCTTTTGGTATTTAGTATTTGATCACCACTGCATTTTTTATTTCTTGCATTATAAACAATAATGACAGAGAATTAAAAAATAGATATTTTCTAATTTCTGCTATAAAACATATCCAATAAAAAAATTTAAAAAACAAATTTCTTCATAAATTTAGAGCAATAATTTGGTGACATAAAAAAATCCCAATAAGCATATTTAAATTAGTTTACACAAAAGTTATAGTGTCTACAAGTTATGGTATATATACTGGAATTTTATTTCTTTATTATACTAGCAATGGTGGCGATCAGCGACTTATAGTGGGACTGTGATATTGTGGCAGATAATCTGACACTATCTGACACTTTGTGGGAACCAGTGGCACTAATACAGAGATCAGTGCTAACAATATACATTGTCTCTGTAGGGTAAGGGGGTTAAACATCAAAGGGTTAACTGTTTGCCTAGAGAGTGTTTTATATACACAGTGACAAATCACAGCAGAAGAGGCATGCCGAGGGCACGTACACTCCCCATACACCAGGAAGTGCAAAATTATATATGTGTGATTTTGCACAGAATGGCCTCCCAGTAGCAGTAAATCTGCTACAGGACGGTCTTGAACTGGGCAAAGTAAACCTGTGTTTTGTTCATGCAGAGCAAAGCAGCATGTCCACTTTATTTCCCCAACCCCCACAGCTTGTCTTATCTTCCTTTGGTTCCTCTGCTGTTTTACTTAACCACAAACAGCCACAAAAACAGTCCAGTGTAAGCTCAAGTCAAATTTTCCAGTTAGTCCTGTAGCATGGATGGGGGGGGGGGGGGGGCACCTGGGCAATGGCATTAACTCTTTAATTGCTTCCATGAGCCTACATACAGATGGAGCGGAACACAGGGAAACTATACTCCTTAAGGGACCCAGAGGGTAACCCAGCCTGGCATAGCCAGATAGCCTTCCCACATCTGCCCCCTAGAAATCACTTTTCCGGGCAAACTTCCATGTCCCAACAGAGCAGATTAAAGCGGTTCACCTTTTTGACAAAAGTGCAGGTAAAAAATTTGCCTTTATTTTTTGGTCTGCAGGAGCCTAGAAAGCATTACACCAGCGATCAGTCGCTGGTGCTATGCAGGTCTCCTGCAGACCTGTCAGAATATCTGCTTGCTGTATGGGATGCACAGTCAAGCAGATATTCTGACAGGAAGCGTCAATGAACTACTACAGCGCTCCACAGTGCAGTGGTAGTTTATTGAAAACTACAAGCCCACAGCCACTAAGGTTGCCAGGACTTGCAGTTCATTCATTCACGGAAGTCCGTGGATGAATAACGTGGCCGTGTGGACAGAGCCCCACAATGCCGCACTGTTTTCAAATCTGACAAATAGTATGGGGAAACTTCTCCCCGTACTATCAGTCAGAGGGAGGGGTGGGCGGTGGGCAAAGCTGGGTGGAACATGTAACATGTTCCCAAAGGTGAACTCATCCTTTAACTTGAGTCCACACAGAGAGCAAAGGTTTTTCTTTTTTACTACTAGATGAATTGTGACACATAGCTTGGTCAAGGTTGCAAAAGTCTCTAAATACAACAGTGGCTACACAAACGTTTCGAGTTCAAGCAAGAGGAGACCTGCACCCAGAGCCAAAACAAAACCAACTCCCCACAATAGAAGGATACTATGGTCCATATTCTCTTTAGGGAAAAGATCCTCCCTAATGGGAAAGCCTACATGTAATTGTCCTGCTGACTACATCCTTCTCAGAGTCTTTACCCTAGAAAATGGTATTCTCTCACAGGAGACCATCCAGTCACTGACCCAGCAGCCAACTCCTGGCACCAAAATGACTTAGCGACAGGGAACTATGCTGTGCATACCAATCTCTCACTCCTACAGTCCTAAAACTGGTCTGACTTTTCCTGTGGCAGACCAATATCCAAATAGATAACTAAGCAGCAAAGTGCAGATCTGTTGTCTATTCTCATGTTTTCATTCAGTGTTTTGGAGGTGGCCAAGCTCAAATGGCCAAACCCAGCTTCCACCATACAGCAGAATATACCGTGCTTTTCACTTGCTAGCTAATCACAAAAGGACCGGCCACCAGGGCTCAATACTGACCAGAGACATGCCAGCATGTCTATCCAACCTGCCTCCACCCTTTACTTAGACTTGTTGTTTGGCCTAGTGCTACACTGGAGGTACATATATTAACCCCCCTGGCGGTATTCCCGAGTGTAGCTTGGGTTAACTTTCAGTACCAGAAGCAGTAACCCCCGAGCTACACTCTGGGATTACCCTGTAGCGTCGCTCAGGGATTCCCTCCAGCACTTACCTTGTCCTACGCTCCCGCGATGTCCCCCCTGCAGCATCCCCGGCCATGTCCTCCGGCCGATGCCGGCATCTGTCTTCCGGGTGCTGTTCCCTACGAGTGTCGGGACGTATGGGACATACGAGGAATGGAACCGGCGGGAAATAAAAAAATTTAAAAAGTGACATTCACTCAATACACTAAAATCACATAGTAAAACATTCCTGTATCAAACCATTTCACATACATTTTGTCCCTACTGCTTTGTCCGGCGCCCTGCCTGCATTTTTACTGTTCTTTCTGCCTGGAAACTGGGAAACGTCCATGGCGTCCAAAAAGCGTCCCTTTAGGTCAAAAGTGATTTTAGACCAACTAGAGAACAGCGATAGTAAATTAGAACCACTTGCAGAATTGAGTGATAATGATTTGTGGGGAAATTCATCATCAGACACTGAAAACAATTTTGCGACTTTGCTCAGTGATGTGCGAACTTGGCTCTATATTTCAAATGTCAGTGTTTTTGGTTTGATTACATTATTGAATTAAATTTATTATTATTTTATTATTTTTTATGATTGTTTATTATATTATAATTTATGATTTCGTGTTTCAAATTTTATCATACCGGGGATGTTTACTAGACTCTTGTTCGGACAGATTGCAGTGAGTTATCCCTAAAAATTACAGGCCTACAATAATAAAAAAACTACATATTTCCATACAAAAAAAATGTACCAGTTTGAGCACAAAAATATGGACATAATCAGACCGCTAGGAGGTTAAATTCCAGACCCATCTTCTGTCTTATAGATACAATGTCACAATCAGTCTCCAATGTAAGAGAGTTTACCCTGGGAATCAGCACTTGCCATATGACTGTAGAGGTCAGAAATTGGACCTTTACCACTCTGAGTCTGTATCCTTAGAAAACCCTGGGGAAAAAGCCCAATAAATGATTCCTGTGGAGGCGTAAGAGAAACGAAGGCATATGTTTGCTTATGAAGCTGCTAGAGGCACATATTCTTTTTAAAGGTTTCTTCGCCCTCCCCCATTCAGAACTACATACCCCAGAATAAATCTTTCTTTGTCATTTTGGGTTCTGCCAGATCAGATATAGTGATATCTGGTTACTTTCATCTCCTTGCCAGAGGGTTTTACAATAGCATTCACTTAAAGTGTTACTAAACCCACAACAGTAAAAGCAGTCTGTATATGCAGTCAAGCATGCTTGTTATACTCACTGTGGATCCTAAGGGGTTAATCCTCCACAATGTGTAAAAAGGATGTTTGATCCTCTCTTCTCTGATTCTCCCCTTTTTCCACAGTCTCCAATCCATCTGCTGATAGTACAAAGCCCTAGGAAGCACTCTGCACATGCTCAGTTTGGTGTGTATTTCTAGAGAGGGTTTTTTTTTTTATTTCTTGGGCAATGCATGTGATCAGCACAGGGCCAATCAGCATTGTCCAGACAGAGGGTCAGGGGTCCTGCAGCCTCATAGGAGTGAATGAAAATTAATCCTACATGTTTTAACTAGTGCACTGCTGGACACTGATAGAAGTCACACAAGACTGCTCTAACTGCTGATGAGAAAAGGTAATTAGTGATTTATGTTTACTAAAATAATTGCATTTCCATGTTCTGTGTACTGTGGGAGATCCAGATTTAGTGAATGGAGGGTCCTGGGTTTAGTAACACTTTAAGCATTCACTAATTACTTCCACAAATTATAATGGGATTCCTGTAGATTTTCCTCCACATTGGCAGGTTGCAGAGTGCATGGCATGCCCTACTTGCATTCATAGACTGAATAGATGGCTGTAGATCAGTATTAGTTATACGTTATATACAGTTATTAATGTTTCATATCTGGATACATAAAAAAGGTTAAAGATTTATAAACAATATTTGTCTTCTACACTGTGCAGGTTTAATTGTTACTTGTTTTTGTGTGGCACTTGCATCTTATGAGTCACTGAATTACAGTGTTCGGTAATGATAATAAATCAAACAAAGGACCTGTCAATATATATAGTCTTTCAAATTTTCCTTGTCACTCTTTTCTAATGATGTCACAATAACAAAATTGTTAAATCTTTGTTGGATTACATCAGTTGGACATTAATTAAATGACAGTAGAACGCTTCATAGTAGTTTCTGTATTTTGTTTTATTATATAAAGTGCAAATGGCAATTTTAAAAGGAGCCTTTATACATGTTTACCAAAAAATGATGAATAAAATAGAATATTTATAAAGCAGTTTCACATACCACATTGAAAACACACTTTAGATCAAAACATGTTTATTAGTACAATATGTAATAGAATTGCTCCTGTTTAAGTCAGTAAGCTGAATATTAAAGTTCCTGTTCATTACAATTAGGATCCATGCAGAATTTTGGCAGAAAAAAAATGCTCACTTTGAGTGTTTTTTGTACTGGCATTTAGGCACATTTAGAGATGTTTGCTTTTTTTTTCCTGCCAGAAATCCGCTCTCAGAAATGCAAAACAGAAGGGTTTTTTCTGCCTCTACACATAGGATAACATTAGCAACTCCTCTAGGAACAGCATGTTTTAAGTCAGTGTGCATGGACCCTTCATGTACACAAGCCTATCCTGACCGCCGGCCGTGGAAAAAATGCAAAATGCAGCAAAAATGCGGTACCGCGTTTTTGCCACATTTTGCATTTTCCGGCAGTCAAAATGTTCCTATCCTCAATGTGATTCTGAAACACGTTGGGTGTTCCACACAACATATGATCAACTTTAGTGGATTCCAAGAAGGTATTCTACATGCACAAGTTTCTTGGTTTATGTCTTCATTACAATGTAGCCATTATACCATTTTTAATGGACTTCATGTGTTAAATATTTGGGCGGAACAGTGGCTTAGTGGTTAGCACGTCTGCCTTGCAGTAAATGGGTCGTGGGTTCAATTCCTGACCATGGTGCCTCTTGCATGGAGTTTGCATGTTCTCCCTGGGCTTGCTCCAGTTTCCTTCCACACTCCAAAGACATGCTGGTAGGTTAATTGGATCCTGTCTAAATGGGCTCATGAATGTACTGTATTTTTCGCTCCATAAGATGCACCTGACCATAAGACGCACCTAGGTTTTAGAGGAGAAAAACAAGAAAAAAAATATTCTGAACCAATGGACTGCAGACATAGTACAGGAGATGACCAGAGACTGCGGACACAGTACAGGAGATGACCAGAGACTGTGGACACAGTACAGGAGATGACCAGAGACTGCGGACACAGCACAGGGGATGACCAGAGACTGCAGACACAGTACAGGAGATGACCAGAGACTGCGGACAAAGTACAGGAGATGACCAGAGACTGCGGACACAGTACAGGAGATGACCAGAGACTGCGGACACAGTACAGGAGATGACCAGAGACTGCGGACAAAGTACAGGAGATGACCAGAGACTGCGGACACAGTACAGGAGATGACCAGAGACTGCGGACACAGTACAGGAGATGACCAGAGACTGCGGACACAGTACAGGAGATGACCAGAGACTGCGCACAGTACAGGGGATGACCAGAGACTGCAGACACAGTACAAGAGATGACCAGAGACTGCAGACACAGTACAGAAGATGACCAGAGACTGCGGACACAGCACAGGAGATGACCAGAGACTGCGCACAGTACAGGGGATGACCAGAGACTGCGGACAGTACAGGGGATGACCAGAGACTGCAGACAGTACAGGGGATGACCAGAGACTGCGGACAGTACAGGGGATGACCAAAGACTGCAGACAGTACAGGGGATGACCAGAGACTGCGGACAGTACAGGGGATGACCAGAGACTGCAGACACAGTACAGGGATGACCAGAGACTGCGGACAGTACAGGGGATGACCAGAGACTGCGGGCAGTACAGGGGATGACCAGAGACTGCGGACAGTACAGGGGATGACCAGAGACTGTAGACTGTACAGGGCATGACCAGGCACTGCGGACCTTTAGGGAGGGAGGGGGAGTGGGTACCTGACTTTGACACTTCCGCGGAGCTCTTCTTCCCATACTATGGGCGTCTCCTGGGACCTGTCATGTGTCCCAGAAGGCGCCGGACCATTCACAAAGAGCAGCGCTTCTCGTGCATGCGCAGTGGACACCTGGCTGTCACAGATGCCGGAGCGAGAAGAAGCCGGCGCGGGAAGACTACAGCGCTGGTCCGAGGAACAGGTGAGTTTCTTCCGCAGAGAAAAGCTGAGCAGCTGGCCCGGTATTTTGACATGGTGGCGGTGGAAATACCGGACCGGCCGCTTTATATTCGCTCCATAAGACGCACTGACATTTTTCCCCCTTTTTTTGGGGGAAAAAAGTGCGTCTTATGGAGCGAAAAATACGGTAAGTTAGAAACCTTAGATTGTACACCCCTTGAGGGTTAGGGACTGATGTAAATGTTCAATATATATGTGTAAATTGACAGCACTATAGAAGTACCTGAAAGAAATAAATCCAATTTTGTTTTGGAACTTTACCTCAGTACCTGTTTTTTTGCAGATAAAGTCCCGTACAACCTTTGGGGGAATCTTAATTTTTTTTTTTATTCTTAAAGCAGAGCTCCATCCAAAAGGGGAAGTTCCGCTTTAAGCACTTAATAAAAAATAGTGTAGCGCTTCTTTAAATAAATAAAACAAATATGCGAATATGTGTATATAAATAAAATCACAATACAGTGCCAAAAACCAATGTGCCACGGTCACCTAAGTGACCTATAAAAGTGATATTCACAACAATATACATAAATACATAATACAGTGCAAAAAAAATATTGTGCCATGAGTGACCTATTAAAGTGGTATCTACACGTGAACACTAACAAAGACACCTATGTATACGGGGATAAAAACATACAAGTGATAGTGCCACTCCAAATCACATATAAACACACTGGATGCTCAAATAGTCCATAAATAAATTGATGGGTGCTTCATATAAACATGCAACGTGCAAATGATGTATTAAGATCTGTGAAAGTGTCAGCACACTTCTTCTACAATGCCTCCTCACCTCCTTCCAGTGACCCCGAAGGGTCAAAAAACCTTCAGGGTCACCCTGGATCCTTATCAATTCCGGCTCATATCAATCCTCCTGCAAAACTCCAGGTCCCTCTGATATGATGCTCTGCGAAATATGTATATATATCAAAGGTGCTTCTGCAAGCTCCTGGGACCTTTAAGCACTGCTCCCCAGCTCTCCATTAAGGATTGGCACCTTTGGGGGGCAGGGGGGAGCAGGTACCCGAATTTGACAAGTTCCTGCTCCCACTTCCAGTCCGATCGCCTAGGCCAGGGGTGGGCAACTGTGGCCCTCCAGCTGTTGTAGAGCTACAAGTTTCATGAGGCATTGCAAAACTGACCGTTACAAGTATGACTCCCAAAGGCGGAGGCATGATGGGACTTGTAGTTCACCAACAGCTGGAGGGCCACAGTTACCCACCCCTGGCCTAAGCGATCGGAAATGGAAGGTGTCCTCCCTCCCTCCCTCCCTGTAGTCTTTTGGGACATGTGACAGGTCCCAGAAAACTACAGGACCATTCATGAAGCACAGCACTACTCGCACATGCACAGTGGGTACTTGGCTGTGAAGCCGCAAGCCATCACAGCCGGGTGCCCACACTGAAGATGTCGGCGGGATGGCCGGTGAAACGGGCTGTGGGGGACACACCGCAGGACCGAGGGACAGGTAAGTGGCTGTTTTTTTAAAAGTCAGCAGCTTTTATTTTTTGACAGGGTGAGTGGAACTCCACTTCAACAAACAAGAAACACTGCCTGTTCTTGTTGAAAGGGAATAATAAAACTAGGTGAAGTTGCAGTGAACACTCAATAGATGGCTCCTTACTCAACACAATGATTATATAGAGCAGCCTTTCTAAACCAGGGTGCCCAGGCACCCTGGGGTGCCTTGAGGTTTCTTCAGGGGTTCCTTGGTAAAATGTCTAAAAATTGCCCAAAACGTGTATACAAACCAGCAGGTGGACAAGCCTGCCTTTTAGTTAAAAAAAACACCTCTAATGTTGGGTGTCCTACATGTGTGGATGTTGCTGCGCTATAAAAACTATTAGAATAGTTTTTCACATTTTAGAATGGGGTGCCCTTTTAAAATTTTTTGAGTTTTGAGGCACCCTATTTTTGAATGGGGTGCCTCAAGACTGTCCATAATTTTAAAGGGTGCCTCAGGACTGTCCATACTTTTTAAAGGGTGCCTTGACTGAAAAAAGATTGAGAAACACTGTTATAGATTTGAAGGCTTGTGAAGGAAAATGATCAAGTTCTGGAATACTCAAATGGAAAAAGGGGGGCCCGCAGCTTTTTGGCCCATCCTCCAACAAAGTTCTTCAGCACCTCTTATAACTCTTTCACAAAAGTAATTACATTTCAATAAACATAGTGGGGTGGTTTACTAAAACTGGAGAATGCTAAATCTGGTGCAGTCGTGCATGGTGGCCAATCAGCTACCATTTTGTTTTGTCAAAGCTTAATTGAAGAAGCTGAACCAGTGTTTGCACTTTCCAGTTTTAATAAATCAACCCCAAAGACAAGTTACTAAAGTCATTTAATTGAAAACACACACAACAAAATATGTTAAAAAAATATTTTAAAAAGTGCCATTATGTAATCCACGTCATTTATGAGGTTACGCTGCATGACAACCTGTACCTGGCAGATTCCCACTGATACGCGAAACATTCCCGCCACTACAAAATATACACATAACATATGGCATCTTGTATAATGTGATATCATTATCCATATATGATTACTTCTATTGTTTTCAATTTAGGATAATTGGATCATTATGAGCCAGATAGAGTTTCTAATCAGCTCAAGGGCAGTCACTTGATGGGGAAATGTCATTTGGCAAACACCAGCAATTATGCAGTCAGGGCAGTGCGCTTTATTATGCCAATTAGAAACAATCTGTAAGTGTACCAGGTGTGATAATTTAATTCCTGGAATGGGGTGTAGAAAAACATCAAACACTTCGGCATTCTTCAAAAAATCTGATGAAATTTGAAGACGACGTTCTTTCTGATCTTCTGTCAAGATTTGAGACACCATCTTTGACGAAATCTTTCTTATTCCCAAATACTCTGTTAGAATTTTAGAATCTACCGCATTGCCCTGTTCATGTTCAATTCTTCTGCCATCATTCACACACTCAATCTTTAATCTGTTCACATTCTGTCCACATTTGCATCCGTACTTTGTGTTTTTGGCTGCCCACTTCTTGCACCATTGTGGACATCTTCCCTCGTTAAACCCTTGGTGCAGACCGTATGCAAATATGTGGCCTCTCGACGGCTGGGCCTTGCATATTTGCGTACCATTTGAAAACACGTATGTGCTGGGAGCACACGCCTTGCCGGGACAGTACAAATACCCCCTAAATGTCCCCTTTTTGGAAAGTAGACAGTCCAAGGTATTTAGTAAGAGGTGAGTTTTTTGAATTTGCAATTTTTGGGCACAATTCTTTTTTAAAATGAAAAAACAAATAAAATGTGTTTTTTCCCATTTTTTTTACATACTGTCACCAGTACAGTAGAGCATCATCATACATCTAGTGTGGCGGTGATCATGGATACTGACTGATAAGAGTATGTAGAATAAAAAACCTATTTTATTCAATTTTTATTACATTTTTAACTTTTTTTTTCTTTTATTTACTATTTTTTTACATACTTTCATCAGAGTAGTTCAGTGTCACCATACTGTACTACTCTGGGGGGTGGGGTGATCAAGGATGGAAACCCATTCATGCTTACATAAATATTATCTGACTGCTATGATTGGTTACATGATACCTAGGCAGCTCATAGCGGCTGTGTACTGAGTGTTGTAATCCGCTGTGCATCCCAAAGGGCACACTAGTGAGCATGTGCCAGGTGACATACTGGCAATGTCCCGCCATCTGCAGTAAATGTACTGTGGGCGAGTGGCAAGCAGGGGCAGACTGATAACTCATGGGGCCCCCGGGCAATAGGGGATCATGGGGCCCCTGTGTCCTTGCCCAAACTCAAAAAAGCCTATGAAAAAGGTACCAGGGGCATCTCATGGGGCCTCCTACTGACTCCAGGCCCGAGTTTCCAAATGGTCAGTCCGCCCCTGGCGGCAAGTTAAAGCCTAAATCCATAAATAATTAAATAATGTGTATGGACCAAGCTGACCCTAATGGTCTATTTCTATTACTAACAGGTGAGCTTGCTGGATGTTTTATGAACTATATGTATTTATCCCTACAGTATGCAGCACTGTGTTCCGTTAGGGACAGAGACTTCCCATCCCACTCTCAGGACAAAATCATTTTGGGCTAACCACTGCTCAGCCATTCAGAGGAAGATTTGTATTCTGTGAATAAATATCAAGCTTCCTCTGACTGGTTAAGGTGGAGAGACAGGAGGATGACATCACAGACTCTGCCTCAGCCAATCAGAGAAAGCTTTGTATTCATTTATAGAATGGAAAGCTTCCTGTGTGCGGCTGAGCACCTCTCAGGCTAACTCGATTTTTTCCAGGAGCAGGACAGGTTGTCTTCATTCCACTGCTGGAAGACAGCATTGTATTCTGTATGAAGTTGAGACCACATACAGTGCTCACAGGAAGCACACCTGTTAGCTGCTTCCCTGCCGCCCTATAGCAGAACTACTGCTACAGGGTGGCAGGGCTGCAAAAAAATCACATATATGTATGTGATTTTGCATATCCGGGTAGAGGGCACACGCATGCGCCACCCTACCCACGCCACCATTGGCAGCTACAGCTGTTGATCACTGGGTCCTGCCCGGAGATTGCCCGCTGGCACCCGGCGATTGCCGAGGAACACTGACAGGGGAGAGGTCTGTATGTAGATAATACAGATCTCTCCCCTGTCAGCACCAGCAAGCTGCTGCAAAGCAGAGCAATACAAAGCAACATGCTTACATAGTAAAACACACACAGCACACATAGTAAAACAGCACACAGTTAACCCTTTGATCACTCCAGATGTTAACCCCTCCCTGCCCAGTGTCATTAATACAGTGTCAGTGCTTTTTATTAGCACTGATCAATGTATTAGTGTCACTGGGGATGTCAGTGGCAGTTAGTCAGTTCCCCCCCAGTGTCAGACTGCTCGCCGCGGTCCCACTAGAAGTCGCTGATCACCGCCATTACCAGTATAAAAAATATTCCAGTATATATACCGCCATTTTTAGACGCTATAACCTTCTTGTAAACCAATTAATTTACATGTATTGGGATTTTTCTTTTTAGCAAAGACATGTCACAGAATACATTTTGGCAGAAATTTATGACGAAATTTAATTTTTCTAATTTTTTTTACTGGACATGTTTTATAGCAAAAAGTAAAAAATATTGTTTATTTTCAAAATTGCCGGTCTTTTTTTGCATATAGCGCAAAAATATAAAAAAACACAGAGGCAATCAAATACCATAGAAAGAAAGCTCCATTTGTGGGAAAAAAGGACATAAATTTAATTTTGTTGCATCGTTGCTTGACAGCGCAATTGTCATTTAAAGTAACGCAGCACCATATCGCAAAAAAATGGCCTGGTCAGGTAAGGGGGTAAATCCTCTGGAGGGCAAGTGGTTAGTAAACTAAAAAGTTTCTTTGGGCCTTTTTGGCCCATTCTGTTTTTGTGTACGAGGTGTCCATCTTGTGCACAAATCTCGTGTCCATCGGCAAGGCGGATTGCATTAGAGAGGGTATGAGGATGCCAGGACTCCTAGAGGCTTGACCACATCGTGACACCGGCATACAATCAGCTATCCGGGTGCTGAGCCTCTGACTGTTCTCCCTCTGCACAGTGGGAAGAGAGCTGATAGTGACAGTGATAGTGGATTATTTGATACAATAAAGGCTTTATAATGTGTCACTACACCAGCACTGTCTCTTCCTCTCCCTCCCCCTCCCAGTATATAAAAGACCTGCATGCTGAGCATTCATCCCTGAACACATAGGGATGGATTTACAAAAACTGGAGCACTCAGAATCTGGTGCGGCTGTGCATGGTGGCCAATCAGCTTCTAACTTCAGCTTGTTCAATTAAGCTTTGGCCATGAAACCTGAACGCTGAATGGTTTCTATGCAAAGCTCACCAGATTTTGCACTCTTCAGTTTTAGTAAATAAACCCCATAGCAGGGGCAGACTAACAACTCATGGGGCCCCTGGGCAATAGGAGATCATGGGGCCCCTGTGTCCTTGCCCAAACTCAAAAAAATCTATGAAAAAGGTACTAGGGGCATCTCATGGGGCCCCCTACTGACCCCCCGGGCAATATGGGATCATGGGGCCCCTGTGTCCTAGCCCAAACTCAAAAAAGCCTATGAAAAAGGTACCAGGGGCATCTCATGGGGCCCCCTACTGACCCCGGGCCCTCAGGCAGTGCCCGAGTTTCCAAATGGTCAGTCCGCCCCTGCCCCATAGGGTCTTAAGCACATGTACCATTCAGTACAGTGTTCAGCCCCGTCCAGCCACAGCCTGATGCCCCCGTTTGCAAGAAGCCCTAATCCCTTGTTCTGAACAAGCACTAGGGACCTTGTGAGATACAATTGTGGGTTACTTTGAAAAGCACAGATACATTATGCAAAGTCATCTAATATGCATAGGTCATAGGGTTATAATTCTGTGCTTGTTATGACATTATCTTCTATTTGAACCTAAATAGGTATGTGGACTAAGGCATAGATCACATAAGTCGAACACAAGACCCGCAAGCCGAATCTGGCCCACCAGGCCTTGTCATGTGGCTCTCCCACAGTTTTGCAGCTGGAACATGTTGGAACTCCATTCCGCTACCCCCGGCTCTCACCCTCCACTCCCCACTGTCAACTGTAAACATAGAAGCCTTCTGAGTTTACAAGGGATCCTTGCATGGACTCACAGTGGGGTTAGAATCTGATAGAGACAGAACAATCTTCCTGCAAGCCGAGGCAGAGATGCCTGCAAACAGAGGTACTAGAGCCCAAATACACAGGTACTAGAGCCGCGTACACAGGGATGTACTAGAATCAGGCCAGGTAGGAAAGAGTAGAGATGCAAGGAAGCTTTGGAGGAGAGAAATTGGGTTGGGGCTGCACACTGTGCATAGTGTACCTTTTACCCTTCACTCTGTGCTCAGCATACTTCTGAACTCTGCACTCTATCCGTAATGCACTCCTGAACCTTGCACTCTGTACTTAGCACAAGTCAGATACAACCAGCCATTTTGAAGACAACCATTCTGCTATCCACTCAAAGGGCACCCCTAGACCCTGCACTCTGTATGTAACGCACTCCTGAACTCTGCACTCTGTACGTAGCACACCCCAGATACAACTGACCCTTTGAGGGCAACCATACTGCTGATGCGGCCCACGATGAAATTGAGTTTGACACCCCTGGCTTAGATGAATCCTAGTCAGTGGGTATCAAACTACTGTAAATCTGTATACACAAACAGTATTTATTAGTGCTAGGAAAACTCCATCAGTATAATGATTTGTGTTACTTTTAGCAGGAAAAAAACTAGTACAGTCTAATTAGTTGCTTTTGATTAAGAATGAACACCCTAGGGGCCTTAAAACAGTTCACAAGCACTTTCAGGCACTTCAGTTTTTTTTGACACATAACTACAGCTGAAAAACTGCCAGCTGAAACTTGGACATGATCAAATTATGCATCCACTCAGTAGAAAATTGGCAAGATCTTCCACAAATAACACAGACTTCATTCCAAAAACCTGGGGAGGGTGGACACGATTCAGACACAAAGCTGTGTATTCTAATATAAGAAAAAAAGGTAGCTGTTATTTTTTCTGGTTTATGTTGCTTTTTTTTTTTTTTTTAGATGTTTTCCGTGAGCTGGAGACTGCTCTGTTTGGTTTTATCTTATTTTATGTGAATGCATAAATAGGCATCAAAGCTGACTTTATTATTTTTGTCTTTTTTGTAGGAATGCATAATGTAATTATAATTATTGCTGTTCATGTTGTTATTATATTATTATATATCTGACGGCGCTTGTCAAAATGCCAAACTGTGACTGGCTGGAAGGGAGCTATGTGCATTTAATTTAAATGGAATTTGCAGGTAAGAAACCTTAACACCTAAAGCCCTGCTCTTTCTGTCTAAGTCTTACTTTTCCACTATATATATAGCTTTTACACAGACTGCTTTTTTTTTTTTTTTTATTAGGCAGCCTTATTTAATGATACATTTGCATCTACAGTACAACAGTATAGGCAGTTTGCTTTACTTTGTCTAAAGAGAATCAGTCAGGAATGGGCACTTGTTTGAATCTGTCTTACTGCTCTAAAAGTAGAACTGTGGTTAGGCTGTGGACATTCAAATATTTATTATTATTATACAGTATTTATATAGCGCCAAAGGGTATGCTCAGCGCTGTACAGTAGCAAGGGGGATAGAACATGAGACAAGACAGTAACAATACAATACATGAGGGGTTCGAGGGCCCTGCTCTTTCGAGCTTACAATCTAGGAGGGAGGGGAAGGTGATACAGGAGGAAATGGCTGTGGGGGATGGAGTGGTGGGGGAGGAGTGGAGGAGGTTGTTAGGTGAAGTCAGGTGTTAGGTGAGGTTGGGGTAGGCTTCCCTGAAGAGGAGGTTTTCAGGGTGCGCCTGAAGGTGAGGAGGGTGGGTGACAGTCTGATGGATTGGGGTAGGGAGTTCTAGAGGATGTGGGAAGTCCTAGAGAAGTCCTGCAATTGGGCGTGGGAGGAGGAGGAGACCAGGGAGCTAGAGAGTAGGAGGTCCTGTGAGGAGCGGAGGGCACGGGTAGGGTAGTATTTGGGTATCAGGTCAGTTATGTAGTTTGGGGTGGTGTTGTGAATGGCTTTGTAGGTCAGGGCTAGCAGTTTGAATTTGATGCGTTGGGCAATCAGTGAAGGGATTGGCAGAGGGGGGAGGCAGATGTGGAGTGGTTGGTGAGGTGGATGAGTCTAGCCGCTGAGTTTAGGATCGACTGGAGTGGGGATAGCGTTCGTTTGGGTAGGCCAGTGAGAAGGGAATCGCAATAGTCCAGGCGTGAGATGATGAGGGAGTGTACAAGTTGTTTGGTGGTGTCTGGGGTGAGGAATGTGGGTATCTTGGAGATGTTGCGGCGGAGGTGGAGCCTGCAAGATCTAGATAGCAGTTGCATGTGGGGTAGGAAGGAGAGGTGGGAGTCCAGAGTGACACCCAGGACTTTGGCGTGTGGGGTGGGTGAGATGGTGGTGTTGTTGGTAGTGATGGAGAGGATGGGGGGGGGGGCGCGGGGGGGGGGGGGAGACAGGAGCTCGGTTTTGGATAGGTTAAGTTTGAGGAAATCAAACATCCAGTCTGATATGTCGTTTAGGAGGTGGGCGATGCGGGCAGAGAGTGAGGGGGTGAGGTGGGGGGTGGAGAGGTAAATTTGGGTGTCGTCGGCATAGAGGTGGTAATTGAAGCCATGGGAGTGAATAAGTTTGCCAAGGGAGGAGGTATAGATGGAGAAGAGGAGGGGCCCGAGGACAGAGCCTTGGGGGACCCCGACAGAGAGGGGGAGGGAGGGGGGGGGGGGGGTGGTAGTGTTGTAGGTGACGCTGAAGGAGCGTTGGGAAAGGTAGGAGGAGAACCAGGAGAGAGCAGCGTCCCTGATGCCAAGGGACTGCAGTTTGGCAAGGAGGAGAGGGTGGTCAACAGTGTCGAAGGCCGCGGAGAGGTCGAGGAGCAGGAGGATAGAATAGTGGCCATTGGCTTTGGCGGTTAACAGGTCGTTGGTGATTTTAAGTAGGGCGGTTTCGGTGGAGTGCAGGGGACGGAAGCCAGACTGTAGGGGGTCAAGGAGGTTGTTATCAGTGAGATGGGCTCTTAGGCAATTGTAGGCCAGGCGCTTAAGGAGCTTGGAGGTGAAAGGCAGCAGGGAGATGGGTCTAAGGTTGTTAAGGTTAGTGGGGTCCAAGGAGGGTTTTTTGAGTATGGGGGTGATGTGTGCGTGCTTTAGAGGGGAGGGGAAGGTGCCGGTGGAGAGGGAGAGATTGAAGATGTGGGTGAGGGAGCGAATGATGGAGGGGGGGGTGACTGGAGGAGCTGTGAGGGGATAGGGTCCAGGGGGCAGGTGGTGAGGCGGGCTTCAGTGAAGACCTTAGAGACCTCCTCAGGGGTAGTTGGGCTGAAGGAACGGAGTTTTGGAGAGGTGATGGTGTGCGGGGCATTAGGTATAGTGGGGGGTAGTGTGGCTATGAGGTAACTGCAGGCACTACAGAGCAATTCATTCTCATAAATTACAACTGAAGCTTCTGGCTAAGATACTTTACCAGGAAATAGAAGTACTGATACTTTCCAATTGGAATTAAAAAATATAAAATAATTAGAGGTACATCCAGTCTATCAAACAAGAGATGTCTTTCTGTGATGCTTACATACTTACAAAATAAAAACAGAAACTGAAAATAACACCCAGCAACTCTGGCTACAAAAAAATGAAAAAAAAAACAAAAAACAAAACAATGATTCCACATGATTTATAACAGTTACCCTCCCTCAACACATGCCATGTACGCTGTAGTGCAATGGGCATTGGCCACTTATGTCCAGTGTATTGGGGTGCCAATGAATAAGGTCCCTTACACATGGGCATCATAATTTACTGGTGTTTACTCAGGACCTTTTGACACCTGTGTGCAAAGGGCCAAAAACTGGGTGTAAAGACCTGAGAAATGTTGAGTATAGGTGAGTAAGGGTGTGTAAGCGTCTAGTTGAGTATAGACAAGTCAAATTCGTCTTCATTGCCAGTATTGTGGCCCCTTGCACACGGGCATCACACGTTCCTGAGTAAACATCAGTAAATTATGATGCACGTGTCCAAGGGGCCTAAATGAGTAAACATGTGAATAAATTATTGTACTCACATGAAAAAAAAAAATTTTTGTTTTATTGCTCTGGACTCAATGCTGTAAACTCACCATTTTTTACTCCCATGTGCATGTCCATGTTACTGCCAGGCCTGTTGCACATGGAAGTAAAAAATGCTGAGTTTTCTACTGAACTGAAATGAGATGCATTGTTGTCTATGGGACATTGCACACAGTTGAGTAAAGACCAGTAATATAGTGGTGAGTACAGAGCAGTACAATAAAAATAGATCATTTTACATTTTAGTGCAGTAATTTACTCACGTGTTTACTCTTTTAGGTTTCTTGCATACGAGCGTCATAATTTACTGATGTTTACTCAGGAACTTGTAACACCCGTGTGCATTGGACCACAATGCTGTCAGTGAAGAATTTTACTCATCTATACAGTACGCTTACAGACATTTACTCTCCTATGCTCAACAATACTCAGGTCTTTACACAGTTTTTGGCCCCTTGCACATGAACGTCACAAGTTCATGAGTAAACATCAGTAAATTATGATGCCCGTGTGCAAGAGGTCCTACACTGTAACTTACTACACCATCGTGCATGCATTGCCATGTCTTCCAGTAACATCCATTTTATCATGCATTACTGTAACGTGACTATCTGAATGAATCTTAAAGGTAAGGCTGCAGTATTACAATTCAGA